GCACGAGCCCCCCAAAGCTGTTGCAGGAGTGGCAAGTTCTGGGGCTTTTATCTGTTATTTTTTTTCTTAAAGGGCCAGAGCTGCGGTGGGTGGGGCAGCCATGGGGGGGTTGGAGGAGTAGGGGGGCAGAATGGGGCAGTAGGGGCAGCAGAGATTGTCCCCCCCCCAGCAGCACCCGGTCAGCACTGGGGCTTTTCTTTAAAGGGCCAGAAACTGGGGTGGTCAGGGCAGCCATGGATGGGGCTGGGGGAGCAGGCAGGAGTCAGGGGGGCTGTGGGAGCAAGGAGGGGATGGGGCCCTGAAGGGGTCCCCCTCCCAGCCCCCCTCCCCTGCCCATTACTTACCAGCTCTGAATCCAGCTGCTGCTCCCTCCTGCAGCCACCGGGGACTGTCCAAATCGTCAAAACTCTCTGAATCTTTTCTGAAGATTTGGAGAGCTTTGAATTGATTTGGACCTTTTAATTGGTCCCCTGATTCAGTTTGGATTCAGAGATTCAGCCACCGAATCAGGCCGAATCTCTTCTGAATCAAATCGAATCACCACTCGAAGCTAGAGTATACACAGCTCTAGAGTAGAATCGCCACACAGCCCTAGAGTATATCCTTTTGAAAAAAAGGGCCCAGAAGCTATTAATTAAAAATTTCTGAATGGCTTTTTATTTAGGCCACAGCAATTTACAGAATCTGATTCTGAGATCCAGTTATTGTGGTTAAATTGTCTTGACCATTTAAAAGGGATAGCCTTTCCTGATAATAAGAGTGGGCATGTGAGGAACAGCCACCATTGTTTATCAATCATGGAAACAACTTCCTGTGTCTTTTTTTTTTTTTAACCCCCCCTGACCATAATATCTAAACTCTAGAAAGGAGATGAGAGTTCATACTGTTAAAATGATTGTTGGCAAACTTGCTTTATTTTTTTTTATGTTTTAGAGCCAAAGGATGAGCTGTGGATTGGACTGAATGACAATAAGGTTCAAATGTATTTTGAATGGAGTGATGGCAGTCCTGTGACGTACACTAAATGGTTGCGTGGAGAACCAACCCATGCAAACAATAGGCAAGAAGATTGTGTTGTCATGAAAGGGAAGGTAAAGTTATAATACCTTTTTTGCTCAGGAGAATGGGAGTTGGGAATATTACTGTATGAAGTAATTTTTGCTGATCCAAAGTTTGTAGATTTCATCTTTTGGAGGAACCTTAGTCTCTTCAAAGCTGCTAGGATGTTGTTTCAATTGGTTGCATGGTAAACTTGCATGGTGAACTTTTCTCTGACGTTAACTTCTAGCATTTCCTGTGCTGCTCCCTGAGTCAACTTCTGTAGGAATCCCATTTGTGAAGGTGGGCATTAGACCACACTTAACCATGCTTGGTGCAGCTTATTTCACAGAACACTCTGAAACAGAACAATATTTGTGAATGTAACTTCCAGAGGCAAAGAGGGAAAAAATGTTTTTGAAACTTTGGAATTTTCCGTTTGGACTGGAGGGCAGATTTATATTTCACTAATGTGCTGCTCATGATAAGAAAATATTAAATTTTTTTCTGTTTAGAAAATAGCCATGATTTTCTAGAAAAAAACCCATAACTTATGGATCCCACCTCTTGGGCCTTTTGGTTAGCTATATTGCATGAATTTATTGTAAGGGCTTAACTGAATGTGCATTCTACATTTGTATATATGAGATAAAGGATTTGTTTTCTTAACAAAAACCTCTGTTGATTATGTAGGTACCATTGTCAGACTGTTTCCAAAAGGATTGTTTACTGGCCCACACCTGAAAAAATGTGGTGTGGTTGCTATAGTGATAGGCATGGTCAGCAAATAAGAGTCAGTAACAAGACAGAGATGCCTGATGTTGGCAGAAAGTATTTTTCTAGCTCTGTGATCATGTGAAAAAACATACTTCTCTCCAATGGCATTTCTCAGCTACTTTATCAAGGAAAAGAAAGGGTGGTGGTGGGGAACCCCTTAGAACCCAATATGCTGAGCTCATTCCAAAATCTAGGCAGTTATTCTGGAGATTGTGGGAGCTCACTTTTCTCTGGAAAAAAATTATCACATTTTGTAACTGTAGGTTGTGGCAGAGCACAGGTTGTGCCTGACACTTTACAGGGTTTGAGCAGGCAGCCTGCAGGTAGGAGAAGACCAAGTCAAGCAGTCGCATGGTAGTTAGGAGGTTGCCTGATTGGTGGAGATGTTGGGGAGCCTGGGTATAAGGCTAGGTCCTGAGACCAGGGCTAGCAGTTGCTTCAGGGAGCCAAAGGAATGCCATTGCCCAGTGGGAAATATGCTGCTCCCAGAACAGTCTGAAGGACAGGGTAGGAACTCTGGAGGTGGAAGAGGTTCCTGGTCCTGGGGCATGACTTGAAACTATGCCTTGCTGGGTTTGGATGGTGTGGTGGAGCTGCCTGTGGCAGGGCAGTCTCTAGGAAATGCCATACCTGTGCCTTCCCAGTGAAATGTGAGTATGGGGTGCTGGAAAGCCTCAGCCTTTGCTGCCTTGCAGGTGACCCCATGGAGGGGAGAGGCTAGGGGAACACACCCCAACAGATAAGCAAAGGGCCAAGGCCCACTGAGTAGGGCCTGAGGTGGGGTCCAGGCCAAGAGAAGGTGGCCTGAGACACGGCCCAGGCCCACTGAGTGAGGCCTGAGGCCCAGAGGGCATAAGGCCCCGATGCCTCAGTGAATGGGCAGCGTCCCACCTAGGAACAACTTTAGTTGCAACAAAGGCATGGCCAGCGAGCCAGGTGGGTGGGCCAATGTAGTGACTGACCCCAGGACAGCCCCCTGGTACACAGGTGCTGAGCTATTTGTTTAAATTTTGGTCCATAAAAACAGGTTGAACAGCCACAGCCCCCATCATTCAGAGGAAACTGCTGTTTCTGCACCTCTCAGGATCAGGCCATACCTGATCACAACTGAAACAAGTCAGAAGTTGGATTGGTCCTATTTGCATTCTTCTTGAGGTCTGTCTATTTAGCAAATGATTTATAAGGCCGCATCACCAAATTCAGGTTGTTTTGTCAATGACGTAAATGGATTGGGTTCCATTATTTGTTTTTATTTACATACAATCTAAAACAGCCCCTTTCCTTTAAAAATTTAAAATAGAAGCAAACAGTGGAAGCAAAGATAAATACAGCAGTTTCTGAAAAAGGGTGGCCCATTTTAATTATTGCATTCAAGACAGATATTTCATAGCAAATTTTTTGAATATGGCTTTTTATACCATATTTTAACATTCTTATGAACCATTGTATTTCTGACTTGGCATATTTTCTTCTTGTTTTCATTGTGGAGGAGAGTATTGTATACTTCTCTCTTTTAATGGCCTTTATTAGTGTTGACAAAATATAAATTGAAGGAATTAAATGCTTTTTGGTGACTAAGGAAACTGAGAACTTCTTTAAATGTAAGCACTTCATAAGCGAGCATAAAAAATGGAGGTGATTATACATACCTAACTCTGTCATACTTGGAGCTGTACTTCTGCAAATTGCAATGCTTGTCAACAGACTGGACATCTGACTTGCATCTCTGGCCTTCTTAGCAGTAACCTGTTTCTTACACGTTTTTTACAGAAGCAGACTTCAGCAAGTATTAATTATGACAGGGAATTTCATGCATCAGGCATGGCAGTTGACTGATACTGTTGAGTCCTTTCTGGATATTATTCTACTTCACCACTTTTCAAGATGTTATTTCAGTTGGAGGTTTACCGCAGGTTCATTGGCCCCTTTGAGCTCCCCACATGGGATGAAAGTGGTACCCCAGATGGATCTAACTTGTGGTGATCATTTAACGGAGAAAGAGGAAATAGGAAAACAGTTAAATTTAAAGCAGAAACTTTAAATAAATAATGGATCTAGGTTTTTCTTTCTGTATAACTACAACAAATAAATATTCATTAAATTAAACATTAAAGATCTAATGAGTAGAAATCCCCCTCGATTTCTATGCACTTTCTCCTTGTGCCATTTTGCAGGATGGGTATTGGGCAGATCACGCATGTGAAAAAAAACTTGGATACATTTGTAAAAGGAAACCTTTGGGAGAAGCTCCGAAGGAAGAGGAGATTGTTGAAGAAGGCTGCCAGAGAGTAAGTACAAAATAAGTTATGGGAGTTGAATACACACAGCATTATTGAAAGGTCGAATGTAAACCAAGTTATTACAGGCGGTAGAAGTGATTAACCAAAAATAGATCTGTATTGCCATCACTAGAGCCATATGGCCTTTTCAATGTCCATTACTTGTGAAGGAAGTTGTGCTGTATCAAACAGATTGAGATTCCAGCTGCCCTTTGGTCTTTGAACCATGCTCCTGTTCGAATTCCCCAAATCTGTTGCCCTTGTAACTAACCATTATGCTTTCTGCCCTGAAATCAAGCTATTTTAGGAGATTTAGCTGGCCTACCCAGAGTTTCTGTTGGTCCAACTGCTTCAGTAAGGGCTACCAGTGGTGGTGGAGCTTGGAATGGTGATATTTTTCTTTTGGCAGAGATCTAGATTTGCTATGAACATATTGTTGATGTGAAAAAAGAGGCTTTTTCCTTATGACTTAGTTCATTTCTATGGTTAACTGCAAATGTCTTTTTTGTGAATTGCTAAGATGAATTACAGCATTCTCCGTTTCAGAGCTGCTCTTCTTCAGTCCTTATTACTGTGTCTGTTGGCTAAAACTCTCTTTTTTCCTACTAGATCTAAAGGTGTACCTGGTTATTTTTGCTTGTACGTTGTTGCCTCTGTGCTTGAATGGTGGGAGGGGCTTGTATAATGAAAGGGGAGGCCTGAGACCTATTCCTGACCAAAGGAAAAAGTACATGGTTACTAAACCAAGTCTTCTATGACCCCCTTGAATAATGATGCGCTATTGAATATGTCCAGTACTTAAAAAAATAAATAAATACTTCCATACTTCTTTGTTGTCTAGCTGCTTGGGAGGACAGAACCAATACTTATTTTCACAGCACCCATGTTCATCTTGGCTTTGGGGCTTATACCATTGATGGCTCTCTTGCTCTTTCTGGGGTTCTCTTTTCCCCAGTATTAGTCACTCTAGCTCAGGGGTGGGAAATTATTTCAGGCAGAGGGCAGCTTACTGAGTTTTGGCAAGCCATTGAGGGCCACAAGGATAGCCCCGCCCCTTGACAGGTGCCCCGCCCCCTTGTCACTGTCTTGGGACCAGAAGTCCCACCTCTAGCCCCTGACCTTTGCCACTGGAAATCCCTTCCCTTGCCCCCCACAAGAAGTACTCATTTCAGCAAGGGATGGAACAAGAAAAATACCAAATTATATTCTAAAAATCAAACATCAACTACAACATTCATTTAATTTGATTTCAAAAAATATTTTTGTCTTGCTTTGCATGTATTTGTGTTGTGCACATAGAGGCGATTGTACAATAGCTTAAAATGAAGTCTTACTCTTGTATATTATGGAAGGGTGTAGATGGATGGGTATCAGTTTGTGGATGTGTGGGTATGTGGTGTGTGGGGGAGGGTGTGGGTGTGTGTGGGGGGCTGTGAGTGTGTGGGGGAAGGTGGCTGGGGAGGGTTGTGGCGTGTGTGAAGAGGGAGGATTTGTCCGTAGCCAGTGCTCTTGCCAGCCCGGACTCCACACTCCTGTTGCTCCTTGTGGCAGGAGCGACGTCAGGGTCACCGTGCTATTCCCTGTCGCCTCCTTTACTGTGCCAAGCTTCTGACTCGTACCCTCCTATTCTCGCCCACCACGACTTTGATTGTATATGTGTTTTTATAGGGAGGCTACCTTTCTTCTACTTGGCCACAGTTCTCCTGCTTCGGGTGTTCTGTGTATCCAAACCTTGTGGGCTATGCGTGGCTCCTTCCACCCCAATACCACGCCCAAAGCCTCGCAGATGGAAAGACGATGTTCTGTCTGGGTCTATACCCCCTCTGGCACTCGGGCCCTTCTCCGTAACGCGGCCCTCTCTCAGGGCCCTCCTCCGTAACGCGGCCCTCTCTCAGGGCTCACCACACCGCTACCCCCACTTCTGGGGTTTCTCAGCCACCCCTCTCTGGAGCTGGGGTCTGTACACCCCAAACACTATGCCCTCACTGGGGCTGGGGTCCTCGCACTACCTGAGTCCCCTATGAGGCCCCCTCCATCCCCTTATAGCCTCACCCAAACCACCAGTGTAATCAATAACAAACATAAACAGTAACATAAACACCAGCCTCTTGGCAACAACTTAAACATAAGCCACTAGCTATAACTATGCTCAGGCCTACCGGGTTTTCTATCCTACCATGGTGACCAACACTGCTCTGGCATTCAGGCTTCTCTCTTTTCTGGCAGAGAGCTCCTTCATCCTTAGTTGCTGGTAGGGAACTGCCTCTGGCCTCCTGCCTGTGCTTTATATAGGGGCCAGGCCCTGCCCCTTCCTTCAGCTGGCTAGGCAGGTGTAAGCCATTAGCTCCCTTTGGTTGCCTCAGCAACCGGCACCTGAAGGGTTATCCCAGCACTTCTAGTAGCAGGCACCCTAGTGCCCTGCTACACTCCTGTTCCTGTATTCCAGCTTATCCTGGCCCCAGGACTTCGGTGCAGCCCCGTGCTCCCACTCACAGCCACTTCCCCCCATCTGCCACCACTGCCCTTCTGTTGCATCCCCATTTCCCCCTCCCCCCCACCCCAGGTCATCACCCCAGCACCACGTTCCAGCTGCACAGCTGAGACAGCAGGACACAGAAGGAGCTGGACAGGCTTTGCCAGCACTGCACAGAGCTAGTGGAGAATTGCAGGGGCCAGGCTGGCTCCTGCTGCTTCCTGAACCCCAGTGCTACATCTGGGTGGAGCAGGGAGCTGTAGCAGCAGCGGGTAAATGGCTGTGGCACACAGGGGGCAGTGGCAGCAAGCTTCCTCTGGGTCCTACTCACCCTGGCTCCTGTCATTTTTGATAGGCAGCCAGGGCAGATAAATATTAATTTGCTAAATTTTTAGGGGCCCCACGGGCCAGATAGAATGGCCCAGTGAGCCAGATCTGGCCCATGGGACATATTTTGCCCACCTCTGCTCTAGCTGGTTTCCCTTTTGAAGGATCCTTTACATCTTCATATCATTCTCAAAGCTTTTGATGAATCTTGCATGATATTCTTTGCTTCTGGGATATAGTCTTACAGGCAGCCCTACTTTTAAAAGATTCTTCAAATGTAGTGTGCTACATCTGTGCTGCTAACACTGTTAGCTATGCCTAATTTAGTAAAGATGCCTTCTCTCTGTGTAATACACATTCCCCAAACTCCACCCCTCCAGAATGACAACTTGTTTGGTATCCTTTTACTTTTTTGGTTCAGTGTTGTGCTACTGACACTTTTCAGAACTCTGATTCCTATACTCAGAATATATTTATACAGCTTCAGGGCAAACTTTCCCAGATATCTTTTCTTTATTCTGTAAAACAGGGATGGGCAAAGTCTGGCCTGCAGGCCAGATCCGACTGGCAATCGACTCCATTTCCCAGCAGTCCTTGCCTGAGTGGCTGGGGCTGGTTTCCATGGAGACCCCAGTAGTAGCTGTGCTATGATAGCATGGGGCTGGGGTTTCCATGGAGACTAGCCCCAGAAGTGCTGGCAGGGCACATGGTTGGATGGGGAGCTGCTTCAGGGCCAGGCTGGGGTCTTGCAGCAGTGTCGGTGTGGCCCAGAACCAGGGCAGAGCCGTGATCTGCAGCCTGCATGCTCTGGGCAAGGGCATGCAGACAGCAGATTATGACTGCCCTGGCTCCTTGCAGCAGTGACAGCAGGTCTAGAGCAGGGATAGGCAACGTTTTTTGGCTGGAGTGCTGGAAAACATCACAATGCCTACCTTGGAAGGTGCCAGAGTGCCGGCATGCCAGAAAAACAAAATGAGGGCAGGAGGGTACATGGCAGGATGCCCTGCTTGAGCCCCTGCCCCCCAGCCCAGGCTATGTGGCTGTGCGCAGCTACCCCAGCTCTGGGCAGCTGCTGCCAGTGATGGAGCCTGAGCTACTCCCAGCAGGGCTTGCAGTATTCCAGCTGCCTGCTGGGAGCAGCCCGGGCTCCCAGCTGGCAGCAGCTACCCAGAGGTGGGGCCGGCTGCAGCCGGGAGGCTGTAAACAGCTGTGCCGGGCTCTGGAGCCCTGGCATCAGCTTCATACCAGCGTGTGCATGCATGCCTCAAGAGTGGCCAGTGGGGGAGGGGCCTGAGGCAGCGCAACTCCAGTCTCTCTCCTGCTCCCGGCACAGAGCTGGTGACTGGGCTCCAGAGCCTGGTGCAGCTGTTTCTAGCCGGCCTGGGCTCTGGGCAGCTGCAGCAAGCACTGGGCAGGCTGCAAACAGCTGTACTGGGCTCCACAGCTGTGGCATCAGCTGCATGCACGCACAGTCACCACCAGCATGGAGCTGATGCCAGAGCTGTGGAGCCTGATGCTGCTGTTTGCAGCCTGCCCACAGCTTGCTGCAGTTGCCCAGAGCCCAGGCTGGCTACAAACAGCTGCGCCGGGCTCCGGAGCCCAGTCACCAGCTCTGTGCTGGGTGTGGGGGAGAGACCAGGGTTTTCATAGATTTCATAGACATTAGGGCTGGAAGGGACCTCGGAAGATCATCGAGTCCAGCCCCCTGCCCAAAGGGCAGGAAGTCAGCTGGGGTCATAGGATCCCAGCAAGATAAGCATCCAGTTTGCTCTTGAAGGTGTTCAATGTAAGCGCTTGAACCACCTCCGGTGGCAGGCTGTTCCAGACCTTGGGGGCTCGGACAGTAAAGAAGTTCTTTCTTATGTCCAGCCTGAAACGGTCTTGCAGGAGTTTATAACTGTTCGACGTTGTCATCCCTTGGGGTGCTCTGGTGAAAAAAAGGTTCCCCCAGATCCTGGTGAACACCCCTGATAAACTTATAGGTGACCATCAGATCACCCCTGAGCCTGAGCTTTTCGAGGCTGAAGAGTCCCATAGCTCTCAGCCTCTCATCATAAGGTCTGTTTTCCTGACCTCTGATCATGCGCATGGCTCTTCTCTGGACTCTCTCAAGCTTCTCCACATCCTTTTTGAAATGTGGAGCCCAAAACTGGATGCAGTACTCCAGCTGCGGCCTCAC